TTTTCAACGATTTTGCTGCCTCTAGGGAAGAACCCAAATTTGTGCGTTAATATATGCGTTAAATTCTGCGTCAAATCAACAAGATCCGACTATACTTTCTGCCTCACGTAAACTGCTGTGCCGTTTGCAAGAGTCCTCTTGACGTCTAAAGACATAGACTAGATATGGTTGAGTTCTCTGGGAGTAGAACATCGTGTATCATCTTGGACTTGAGTCCCATAAAAGATTTTGTAGCTTCCTTTCAAGATATTTAAAGAAACGCGTCGATAATCTCTTCCGTTTTTCCCTTCCCATATAATTTTCGGAGCTCCCGCGTCAATGTGTAGACGAATTCCTCTGACAGATCATTTGAGTAAGGATGTTGGGTAGATGTGGATAGTATTATGACTCCGGCAAACGCATGAGGGTTGAAAAGTTGACATCCAGAAACTTTGATTTTCGCTTTGCGTTCAAAAATGACTGAACAAAATCTTTCAAAAGTCGGAATCAAGAAATGTATAAGAATAAAAATCTTAGTTTGTGAAAATCGGCTTTCAGAATAACCGTCAGCAAAATAAAATGGCCTTAAATATCCAAGTTGGCAAGGTCCTTTGCATTTTTAAATTCAATTTCACCTTATCGCTTGCGTTAAATATGCTAAAAAAAGCTTCGTACAAAATAATTTTATATAAAATTTTCAGTTTTTTGTTCGTAAAAATCAATAATTTTCATCTTACTACAATTTCTAATACTAATGTTCCGGAATTTGCGGAATCTTTTGCAAGCCATTGTAAAATTAGGCAAACAAAGATGGTGAGTTGCACTGGCTCAAAGATATTCTACTTTCTCTACCCTCTCCTCCTCTTTCTGCCAAGATGAGATGATTTTTTCTCTCAGCATGTTAAAAGAATTTAGAACAGGATTTACATTAACATGCTTTTAGTTAAATGATACGCAAGTAAACAACAGTTAGTATAAATGATAGGCTACGACTATTATAACAGATTATCCTCCTATCATAACACAAATACATTAAGCAGAAAGTTTAAACGAAACTTGTAGTCTTAAACTTTATTATTCTTAAACTTTTAAGGCAAAAAGTAGCCCAAATTAGCCCAATTTTCTGGTGCCAAGAAAGAAAATTTAAATCTACTTACAGACGTTTGGTAATGGGACAGTAAATTTCGTCATGTTAGCCAAAAGTCGTTTCCTTTTTCTTTTTATTAAGGAACTAACTTAAATATTAAACAATCTAATTGATTTTCTATCATAATAGCTTCATTTAATACTTTGAGAAAAAATATATGCTTCAGGAAACATTTCTACTTTTGATAGCTCACGCGTCATTCGGACACCTTCTTACTGCCCAGGGTGCTTTCCCTATATTGAATAATTATTCCACAAAATTTATTACTTTGAGCTCTTCAAAAAGGTGTCTCTTCTTCACCCTTTGAAAATGAAAAATAGACCCAAATTGATAATGTGAACAATACGCGAATTTGTAACCTTACATAACAATACCCAAGACTTAATGAGGCTTTTATCGTCAAAATACAATCATTTAAAACTGGAATTGATAATTACTAAATTTTAACCGTTCCGGTAGGAATTTAAAATAATAAATAATAAATCTGAGCCCTCGAAGCGGCAGATATTTTTAACAACTATTTGAAATAACAAATAGTTATCATCACCAGTTATTGCTCTCAAAGTGGCAAGGTTCCCATTTTCTGTCACTCATCCTCATTAAAATAAGGTCTATTTTGCTTTGTCTGGAGTAAAATGGGACCATTCTCTGTCATAAATAATTCATCCGTTATTAAAATCATTGGTAGAAATGCTATCTTTATACATTAGTTATTCTGGACACAGAATTAATTTGCTATTATATCGCAAATAATTGGAGTGAAGAAAATATAAAGAGCAAATAAATATCTCTCTATTTTATTCAAAATTTGGTTGAAATAAACGGGATGCACGAAAGACTTACGCTCACGTGGTACACCCTGGGCAACGTATACTCATACGGCAAAAAGTCTATAAACCGACAGTTGACTTCTGACTTCAAACTACCATGATCCGACTGTATGTCATATTCGACCACTTTTACAGTACTCACCTTACCTTTTTCTCTACTTTTGTGTCTGTCTCCTTTACAACTGTGAATCACTCTTCTGATCCCTTTCTCGACTATTTGTGACTTTGATGTCCCTTCCCTCATTGAAGCCCGAGGTTAATTAAAGGGCTAATAATAACTATCATAAAGCCTGTCAATTGGTGCAAATAAGTTGAAAACAACAGGCGGAAAATAGAAAATTTTCCAATTCACATCAATTGGAATTATCTCACATTCGATTTGTTGTAATATTTAACTAACTTTCATTTGAGCAGGTACAAACTGTGAACACCCATCCCCTCGTTTATTGGTTAGTTCAGAATTAAAAAGATGCAATTCGTTTCAGCGCTTAGCATCAGATCTAGTTTTAGCTCAACTTTCATTGCTAAAATGTATCAGTGAATCTCTCATTTAAATTTATGAGATACCTAATAGAACTATAAATTCCATTGTTTCTTATTAACTAATGAATGGCGCATTCAACACTTCTTATCATTTTAGTGCTTCGAAACAAGTGGTCATTTTTATTTTAAAAATTATCCTATTGGTAAGGATTCAGATTTGATACGTTTTTACGACTCAAAGCGCTTTTACTCCAATTGTATTCATATAGACGCCATTCAGCATCCCATCCGATGACCCATTTATTCCAGTACCATGCGTGCCGTTGCATGAATTCTACCTTATGAGATTCTAGTGTATAAATCTTTGTGTTCTTCTACTTTAGCAGACAACTGAGTGGCTTCTTCTCCGTTCCCTTTCTATTCATCCAATCCTAGGTGCGACGCTCACTCCTATTTACTATTGAGAGCCTTCTTTAAGACCGTCTTTAACTACCTACTGACCTCTATATACGAAATATCATTCATTCATCTCTGTGTGTGGTACCTGATTTATACATGCACCCTAACAGCACCGTTTTTACCTGTGCATTTGTGTCAATGGTTTGAGCACAGACTAAATTTCCATTCATTGGCTAGTAATATAGAAAATACTTCACTTGGCACTTCTACCATTTTCATCTCAAATATGCTTCAAACTATCATGCCATCTTAAATAAACCACTTTCACTGTCTATTTTTAACATAACACCAAAATTTGTATGAAAAGTATAAGATTTGCACTTTAAGTTAGCCATTCAAAAATCAAGATAGATGAGTTTGTTTCCAAGAAGCTTCGCTGAAGATATGATCATTGAATAATTAATCAAGCTATTAAATATTTTAAAGAATGAAGAAAAGTCGCCTTATGGGCAACGGAAATCGAGCATTTGTGGATATTATATTTGACTACGAAAATGCATGTCGTATCAGTTTTTATCCTAAAACCTTTTCAAGCTATGCTCATGTGGAAATAATTGCTCTCAAATTTCTTTGAAAAATACACTTCAACCACCCGTTAAATTCAGAGGACTTTTTATATTTCAGTACCGAACTCACTAAATTGTATGCTCTTTCTCGCCCTACTAGATTGTGCATTATGAACTATCTAATCCTTAACATTGATTCAATCTTTGAATTTTACCACGCTTGACCGCATTTTGACCTAATTAAATTTAAAACCATATGAAATATAGCCCAAGTACTTGAATAAAAATGAAATTTCTTTCTACGTTCAGCTGATTAATGATTATTTGAGGATTAAGTTCAACCGAGAAGAAACCAGCAATGCTCATATTACCAAATCAGACAATCAATTAACCATTGCACGAAATGTGTTTAAGAAAAATATTTATTTATTTATTTCAAATGGCAGGCGTTATGATAGTTATCATTAGCCCTTTATCTGACTTCGGTCTTCACAGAGGGGAGAAGCATCATAGTGAGAAAAATTCGAGAGGGGGGAAAGAAGAGTGATTCACAGGTGTAAAGAAACAGGTGATGAGTACTGTTGAAGTGGTCGAATGTGACATTCTGTGGGGTCATGGTATTTTGAAGTGAGAAGTCAACTGCCGGTTAACTGACTTTTACCGTATGAGTATACGTTGTCCAGGGTGCACCACATGGAGGTAAGCCTATCGCACACGACTTTAAGAAAAATATCAAAACTTAAGATAGAAATCTTTCCTTTTCTTCTTCCTGAGTTATAAGTATTTGTGGCTTTATTAAAGTGCCGACACAGGAAAGATACTTCACACTGTAAGTCAGCTAAAATTTCAATTGAATTAACTCTCAACTTCATTACTTTGGACAAATTTTCGTATAAAACATTTTAATACATTAGCGACCAATCGCACTAATGCAAACGGCGGACATTTGGAAAAAGTGGTTCACATAAAAATGAACCACCTTACTCTGAGTAAAAATTCTCCGTTTCAAGCACATAAATGGTCTGATTTTGTGATGTCAGTCATTTTAAAGTAGATCTTTCAAAAAACATTATAATATTTTTGAAGCAAAAATCACCAATGCCAATGATGAATTCATTTATAGAATTAATTGTCATCCGTTGTAATTTCTTGGCAAAAAACAGCCGAACTCGAATAAAGACGGTAGTGAGGGAGCAGGTTCTGGAAACAGGATTTTGTTAATTATTCGATTCCAAAATATCATTTGCAGTTAGTAGTTAATTAATCAGGATGATTATTTATATCATTTAAAGGTAATATTCTTCTCAAATAGTCAAGACTATTTGATGATTCTCATTTACGTCACTTTATCTTCACAGAACGCACTGCATTCACTCAAGGTGTTTGATAGATTCATACTAATGCTAACTATTGACCAAATCTGTGGCAACTCAAATTTCTGCTCATTCAAATTTGCCACTCAGATTTTCAACTTCATGACCGAGTGAACATCATGGTGTATGCTTGAGTGAAAAGGAGAGTGAAAAGTCAAGGAAGTGGAGAAACAAACCACACATCGGTAGAGTCTACAGAACAGGTCCTGTCTAAATGACTCACATCAGAGCCTTCTCCTTGTCTGCCAATTGGCTTTTAAGTTTCTTCACTGTGTCAGTTAGTTCGTCAATCTGTCTTTTGGCGACATTCAATTGACTCTGAAGCTCTTCATTTATCTCAAAGGCAGCTTCTGTCTCCTCCTCCTTTGCCTTCTCCGTTGATGTGCTAGCAATATCAGTGGCCTTTGCTTCAGCTATCATCTTCTCTGCTCGAAGCTGCTTAATTTCCACAATGAGAGATCTATTTTAATCTCTGACCCGTCTCCTTTCTTCCTAATACAGTATCAATATTTTTTAAAATTTTTCTCTTATAAAACTACTTTACCTTTTCTTTTTAATCAATATAGTGGAAGCTAGAAAGCAATACACGTAGGCACTAAGTTTCTTTGCTATAATATTGATCCATAGGCCATGGCTTTCTTCTCGTCCCACAATCTTTTAACAACGTGTAAAGAATATATATGCATATATTTATTGAATTTAATATTTGGGAAAAGCCTCTTCTTAAGAGAAAATAGACTTTCGGGGTTTGCTTTAATCGATGAAAATTGCTACGTCCTCGTCCATTATTTGACTAGAATTCATCAATCTAAAACACATTAAATAATTCAATTTTTAAAAAATAACAGCCTAATTCCTTGGATCTAGAATAAGTCAGTCAAACATATTTTTCTCGTACTTCTAGTATAAAAGAAAGTAAGACATTGTCGTAAGAACTCCTATAACTGCACATTAATCAAAACAGCCTTCATTGGATGTCAGGGTGAGGCAAGTTTAAAAAAACTTGAAAAAAATTTACTGATTTTTCGATCAATCTCGAGCTGTTATCTAACTTTTTCAGATGACTTGAATTATTTTAATAAATATGTGGCTTGTTCAAATGACACTTTTCAATTAAAGCCTACATTCACCACTTCTACAATTTTTGGAACTTACTCTTCTTGATCTAATCACTAAAAGATAATCAATATCGCAATAACAAAAAGCGTGGCTATTAAAAGCAAAATCAACTGTACAAAATGCTGGAATAGAATATGATAAAAGTAGATAAGAACATGTAATGCTATTTTTCCCGCTTTTATTAATTTTGAGCACCACGCACCTCTATAAATGTGCGCACTATTAATTTTTAGATAAAAGTACATATTTTATCGTGTATATTTGCTCTCTTCTTAATTTCACTCCATCTTGGGTTGCATCAAATATGTTCTAAACCTGAAAGTAAAGTAACATTTTGAGACTGGTCAAGTTAGACTTGATACCTCCTCCAACTACTGATATTCCCAAGGCCAAACCTTTACAACGGCCAAGGGTTAATTAGGCCAACAGACATATTGAGTAATTGGGAGAATAATTAGAGGGAAAAGGAGGAAGGGGTGGTAATATGAATTGGGAAGAAAGAGGAAGTCGGTAGTGTACTGGGCGAAAACAAACGAAATGGGATAGGAAAAGGCGGAGGGAAGATTTTGCGTTTTTTGTTCATTGACGGCAATTTGCATATGGACCAATAAATAGTAAGATTAAGCAATCAAATAGTAAATTCCCCCACCCCTCCCCTGGATCCTTTGGTCTCGAATAAGCAGAAGTGGATTAATATTTGGAATAGGAGATTTGTGGGCGTGTTAGATTGCTTCTTGCACTTTTATTTTTTTGTCTACAATATTAATGACCATTGGACTGTCGCTTTGATAGGTTAGTGTTTCGAGAGGAAGGTTAGCTGTTAAACCTGAAGCATTTTACCTTTTGTTTTTCTCCACTACGCTGCCAATGCGCCCGTGGACAAGGACGACCATTAGTACAGATGAGGCGGAACACTTGACACAAGGCCCTTGACATCATAATTGCATTAGTGTGAGTGAAACATGAATAAGAGATAGTTGAGTTGTAAGAAGTCTCAGAGGTTGGGATGAAACTGAATAATGAGAGTCTTGAAGCATCTTATAGCATGGGTTCTCCGTAGTAGACACCTAGAGTTTGACTCCAGTTTTTCGTGGGCTTCTTAACGAAGTTATATTACGACCAATAGTAAAGTTACTTGAAGTTTTTTATACAACTTCTCCCAGAACTTATGACTTCCTAAGAGATAAGAAAATGTCATTGGTTAAGTAGAAGAACACGTTTAGTAGAGTATGAGGGGAATGAAAGGGATTAGTGGAAGTGAGAATAAAGAGGATGGTGTCAGTACCAAGTAGAACAATTTGATTACTGTTGGGAATGTGGTTAAATAAGAAGATGGACCAATTTGGAAGTCTATGCTAATTAATAAACAACATAACACTAGGTAGGTCTCATCACGTGCAGGCAAGGCAATGTCCCCTCCATTTCCAATTTTAGTGTGCGCATTTATTTTGATACAGATGAATTTGATAATTACCCAAATACACGTGAAAACAAAACAATTTCAAAGTTATAATGAACTTACCACTTGTTGGTAGCATTGCCATTTCCTCTCATGACTTGTGCTTCCTTCCTAAAAGATGAAAATAAGTCCGATTTAATTTACGCCCTCAGATCATTTTTATAAAATTACTGCGTACTTTAAAGGAAGGTATTTATTTTTCACGCCTAAATTCATACGCAAACTGGTAGAGGAAATTCGAAGATATAATTGGTGAAGAGAATACTAAAAGTAACACACTCTAGCTAAGAGGAGTTGATGAAATTCGACTATTTCTACGGCCAAACTAATCATTATTGGTTTCGAAAAAATATGGAATTTCAAAAAGCACAAAACAAATGCAAATAAACATAAAAAACATTTGCTTGCAAGCTTCAGGCCAAGCTGATTGAATTGAACTGCTCACCCATTCCATATATTCCAGGAAAATCTAATCACGAGGATAAGGGAGCATGATTCACTTATCAATTCCGTCTCCAAATTTCGAAACCTTTGCATTGTATCTGAATTTGGTGCATTTTGATTGATTCGTAAAAGTAATGCGACATATCGATTGGATCAAATTTTCTTATTTCATGGTTACACTTTTTTTAGCTATACATCTAGTGAATCTCGCTTACCTATTTAGCAATCAACATAAATTTCTATTATTGTTTGTCCTGGTTTTAGAACGAAATCCCAGATATGTAATCAAAATGGTTATCTGGAAGTTATTTGCATTTGAGCAGAGATTTTATTACCATTCGGTCATTGTCCAATTCGCGATCACTTGATCTTGATGTTATAAACAGAAATCTGTTCATTGCTCAACTAGCATTACTAAATGAAATTAGCTTTTCCAAGATTTTTCCCCTCAGTTTTATGGCATGAAGTATAAGACATGATAATTTAATAGTTTGGACTGACAATAAATTGCTTTGAAGGAGATACTGAACACTCCGACATTTTGAAATCTTGAATATTACTGGCAGAAATGGTAAATGTCACATAAGGTTCATGTGAAATCGTAGATATCTCTACTGTATGAAAGATGAGTATAAATTTATTCCTTAAAGCAAGATATTTACAGTCCTTGAATGTGTGGACTACTATTGGTACGATGTTATCTAGACTAGCTCTTCTTGGTTAAACTCAAATGGGCTTGCATATCTTCATTATATTCTGGTCATTTGGGACATGCGATTGACTAACCTTCGCGTGGTGCACCCAGGAAAACGTATACTCACACGGCAAAAGAACCTATTATTCGGCAGTTGACTACTAACTTAAAACTACCATGACCCCACTATATGTCATATTCGACCTCTTTCACAGTACTAATCTTACCTTTTCTCTGCGTTTGTCTCCATCTGTCTCTTTATATCCGTGAATCACTCTTCTCTCCCCTCACTCGATTTTTTCTCACTATGACGCTTCTCCCTCTTTGAAGCCCCGAAGTCAGCTAAAGGGCTAATGATAACTATCAAAACTCCTGCCATTTGAAATTAATAAGTAATAAATATTCTGGTCATTAGACAAATTAATTGAAATGATATAAACACCTGTCAACTTTATTCAAACAGTCAATTTTTAGTGGGCATTAAGCAATCAATAGTGTATATAATGAAATTTGATCTTTAGTACATGAAGACATGAAACAATAATTAGTAAAATGGGTTTGAACGGAATGTAATAATAGAAGGAAGTAGAATTCTTTTGAGAGCCAATCTTTGTTCATATCTTCAGTTCGATGAGGAATGGCACCGATTAAATAGCTATTAAATTCCTGTAACCCCATGTATCAGTTGGAAGCATCTCTCAAAAGGCCTTTAGGCGTTTTTTGTCTAATACATATTAACTCATTTGCTTTTTTAGGTTTGTAAGGTTGAAATATTTATTTATTTTATCAAATTTGATAATCCTGACCAATACCACATAAACTATGAGGAGATATAAAATTTGCTCAATCGGAGTTGTACGATTTTCTCAAACGATTATTTAATAATAAACTTACTAATATTCTGTAAACAGTTCCTCCAATATTCGCCATGGAAATCATTCTATGATCAAAACTAATTTTCCGCGAAATCTTTTCTGAGTGAGATATTAGCGTTTGATTATTGCTGAGTAAACACAGTTGTGGGACACTTCATCAATGACCGAATAGAAATCCCGCTATAGAATACTACTCAGAAATATTTACCTATTAATGTTCACTCGAATTATGCTAGATTTATCTGATAACTAATCGCTTTGCCAACAAGACACTTCGCTATCAATATACGTACCGAATAAACGTTGGAGGACCTGAGTCGGTCAGGCTTTACTAGCGTAGCAATCCGCTACACAGTCCTGTTCAAATAATATTTTGATGCAAGTACTTATTAAACCTTTTGGCTAGAAGGACTAATAAAACTAACAGAATCATTGCGAAACGAATTACTAACAATAACCCAGTGGCATTCATATACTGTGATGCCATATTGCATTAAAGGATATAATATACAGGAATAAAAATTGATAAATCCTATAAACAGTCGAATCTTTAAGAGAAGTGAGCGATAATTAATTGACCGCAATCTTGCAGAGCTGTTAAATTGTAAAAATTGCATTAAAAGAGACTAAATATATCTGAGAGAAAAGCAGTCTCTTGAGAGCAAACCGCATTAGAAAAGAAGGAGCTGATTTCTATTGGGTCTGTAATTTTCATTTGATTGATCCTTTCGGAATCAAGCGATTACTGACGATATGCCAATCTACAGTGATATCTCTAAGAGGAACTTCTGATGTATCATAGTTGACCTGAATTTTGAGGATTCACAATTGACTACGCACACAACCTTTCTGAACAGTGCATGTGTGAAAATGTTAATTCTCCAGTTAAGTCCCTTCCAGACCATCAACGCGTCTTAGTGCGAAAGTCTCCTTTTATCTCCTTATTAAAAACGACGATATAATCAATAATTATTACCAACAGCCAAAGTGTTAAGATTTAACAGTCGAAAAATGCCACTTTTATCTAAAACGCGATTAATTAGTTTAGGGTGAGGCCAAAATACTGCGACAACATAAATATAGTCATAAAAAAAGAAGTAATCCCTTGTTAATCTCCCAAACGTTCAGTCTAACCATACTGCATACCAGTAACTGCGGCATTATTCCTATTTTTATCCTCTTTAGTTCGAGATTTGGTCTGTGTGGCAGAGGATTTATCACAATTCCTTCTTTATTTTGAAGCAGAAACTATTTGGCCAAGACCCATGTCAGTTATACTTGGGACTGCTTATAGCTCACAATGGGAGTTTTCGACATTTAATGGGGGGGGATAAGCCAGGAGAAGTCATTCACTCCCTGGAGAGGGTATAGGCGCTGTTTTTACTTTTATTTTTTTGAAATTATGTTGCAGAGAGTAGTGTTTTATTGATACACAGTTTCTCCTATTCTGTCAAGTGTCCACTTGCAAAATCACTCATTTTTTGCTTTTTTATGAGAATTCAGTTTTTAACTAAAATTCCAAAACACAGTTAGTTTTATTTAATTCAGATGTAATTATTGCTTTTTACCCGATTATTTATCTCAGTATACTTCATGGTTATTAGACAAATGAGAGTTTTAATAAGATGCCAAATCGTTTTTTGTTTTCAAATTAAACTTACTTCTAACCTGCAGATATTTGTAAGACCAAGTCAGAAATCTATCAAGGATATGACAGCAATTGATTTAACAGAAACTCTAAAAAGTATTCGGAGAAAGCAATCTATTCTGAGCAAAAATTCGATTAAATCTACTCCGTTTCTCTAGCTTTGAAAACTTCAAAGGCGAATCGTGCAAAATGTACTGCATTTAACATTATGTTAATATTTGTAAAATAGGAAACAAGGCCCTTTGCAACCGAGAAGATCGCTCTTTCAAGAATGAGATAAATGTCAACGGTCCTAATTGCTCTATTTATTGCTATTGCTTTATTATTAATGAAACAGCTCATGGGCAGGTCATTCTTAATAATTGCATCATAAAATTTTTTCCTAATCTGCCTACGAAACACCGTTACACAAACATGTAACCAATATTAAAGTTACCTAACGGGTTTTCAATGCAACAATTAGAGGATTCCAAACTCCTCCTCTCTACTTTTACAAAGTAATGAACATACTGCCTCCATAGTTCAACGTTACCAATATAAACCTGCTGTCTGACTATAATAATGTGCATAAACTTTTGAAAAAATTTCCTATTTAAATGAATCATTATGAAAACTATTTTAACAACGTCTGGGCGTATTTAGTTATTGAAGCGACCACCAGCACTGTTTGTTATGGCATCAGTGTCGACTAATGATGAAGACTTCTGACTTCAAACTACCAAGTCCCCACCACATTTCATATTCGACTAATTCCACAGTACTCGCCTTTTTTCTACCTTTGTGTCTGTCTGTCTGTCTCTTTTACGTCTGTGAATCATTATTCTGTCCCCCCTCTCGACTTTTTGCCACTTTGGTGTTCCTCTTCCTTTCTGAGAAGCACGAAGTCAACTAAAGGGCTAATGACACCTGTCATAACGCCTGCCATTTGAAATAAATAAATAAATAAATGATGAAGTCAAGCTGATATCAAAGAAGTTGCCAAGAAATTTAAAAATCAAATGAATGATTTAGAGTTTAAAAACTGTTCCCCCACCCAGACAGTTTTGACGGTGATGTAGACACAATAATTACCTCAATTTAGCCATCTGCGCCTCGTAAGACTGAATTGTACTAGCGTTTCTTTTAAGTTGATTGAATAACATGTTTAATTTGCCTTTAACACTGACAGCAAACTTTTGCTGCTCTGTCCAGATACGTTCACGTAATTCTGAGTTTGCTGGATCTATACAGGAACGACGAATCAGCAATGCAGAAGAAGGAGAGAAGAATTGGCAGAAGGTGTGTATAAGAAGAAAGTAGTTTTCTTCTAAATTCTGTGAATAATAAATGAAACATGATTCATGTTTTCCTCCCTCTTTTTATGTTTTTAAAATAGGACACAGTGTGTGCGTACCAAGCGTACCTTTAGAATTTTAAACAAGTTGTTGTCTGAGAATAGATCAGAGGCTATATCACCTTCAATACCGTTACCAGTAGAATTGGAGCATTCCTTATTCCAACGTGATGAACCCTTTCGAGAGCATTCTAACTGAATCCGAAGTTCTTTTATTTGTCGTCTAAGTCCAAGGACTTCTCTTCTATGGGCTTCTTCCAAAGAAATTAGCTCATCGGGTGCTGATAGAACAAAAATAAAATTTTAAAGAACAGCTTCATTTAAATTCAAACTATAATAGCAAAAAAATTATTGTGGAAGTGAAAAAATAATCGTAAACTTTTATAGGTCATAAATTGCTTCACAATAAGTGATAGAGATGAAAATAGTTTTCCCCTAGTCTAAGGGTCACTGAACATAATTATCATGATAGGACGCAAACAGACATAGCTCAAAACCCTTTGTGTGCTACTAGAGAAAAAGATGCATTTATCTTTTAGTGAGTTGATTTTCAACAGTTAATTGTATGGGGAGATTATTATTCCAGTAAATAAACTGACAGTTGAATAAGTGTCGCTTATCTGAGTCCAAATCAACTGTACACTTTTTGGTGGATGCCTAGCAGCGGGAACTAGTATTTTGACAGTGATTCAAATTCCAACTATGATTTTTGTTGACTTAGTCAAAACGAATTTCACTCTCCACTTGATTTGAATACGATATTTTCACAGATCATCTTTTCTGATAATTGCATTATCATATGACTGTGACTTCAATTTTTTCCCACAGAGATTAAGTGAGTTAACTAAATGTAACCGATCCGATGTAAAGATAAATGCAATTGCATTCGCACTGAAATAAGGAATGATCGGTTGTCCGGGTGGTAGGAAATCGGCTGTTTTGATAACTATGTATGCCCTAGTACTTACTTGTTTCAGTAGAATAATTAACTTAATAATAATAATAATATATAATAATAATAATAATATATAATAATAATAATAATAGTCAATAATAACTGGCCTAGATTCAGTTCATTACCACTTAGGGCGCACCTCTTCCATTCTTTTTTCAATCCAATACTCACCTAATGTAGGGCATATTCTGGAGTTTTCTTTTTGAATAAAACCATTTTAAACTTTCAAACAGCTTTTCAACGCGACTCACCATTTCCTAAACCTATGTGTTTGCCACTGAATTAGGAAAATGACTTGTCTGCTTTAAGGGCGTGTATTCATGAAATACTCTGCCCAAAGGACGTAAGAGATAAGAGGGTGCGGTCTTATGAAAGCAAACAAATAAGAATGTATTTTCTCATTTAACGCGGATCAAATCGATAACCTGGGGATTGTACGTAAGGCTTATTGTAACCATAAAACCTACATAAAGTGAATATAAATATAGATTAAGGCTTCACCATGCTGATTTAATGCTATTAAACCTGATTTCCATCTCTACAAATGATGAACTCGATAGTCACTACTAGTTTACAGATAACTCAGTAAAAGGCAGATTAAATATGATTCAAGTCAGCTTCGTAATATTAATGTTTTGACAGAAAAACACCACTACATGGTTGACATCTTTGTTACACAAATGGTAAAAGCTGTCAGGCCTGGTTTGCTCCAGTGCAAAGATAGGTGGGACTGGTAATTTAGAGTTTAATGTTAGGAACTCCCCAACCTGAGAAAAAATGGAAATTCTGCGGCTTTAAACCTTGCTTGTCGGTCTACTATCAGTTACAATAGTCACGCTATCGGGTAAACGGTGCTTTTCAATAAATGGAATAAAGGACTACATTAATTAAAACCCTCTTAAGTCCGTAATCTATTAAAAATGTTTGATGACACCTTCCTTCAAAGGGGCTAAAGATTATTATTACCACTATTTCGGAAGTTTGAATGTAATATCTGCGGTTGGTGCTGCGAGCTAGTAATTAGGAGATTATGCCGAGGGTTCTGCTAAACTCCAACTACCAAAGTGTGTCAGCTGGTCAGATTGTGCTGTCCTGCATATATGACTCTAAGAAGGTGTTCCGAACACAAGTCATGAAACAATGTGCAGGCATTGCTGGAAACAGGGTATTGAAATAAGCTTAATAGATTTAATTAAAATTTGAAATAAATGCAAAAGACGCTGTTTGAACAAAATTTGGATCATAGCCCTACGGGTTTATGAAAATATTAGTTGCTGTTTTTTTGAGGTAAAACTTAATCTAGAGGCTATTTGCTAGGCAGTTTTAGGAATGAAGTTTAAATGAAGGTATACCCACATAATAGCTACTCAATGCTGATAAAGTTCAGTGCCTTTCTATAAGAACCAAGCCACAAATGAATTTGATATGATGGTTGGAAAGTGAATATCGTGAGGGGGAGGGGGGCCTACGGACGAAATCTCCGATTATCTCGTAATATTCATGCTAGTAAGAATGGAAATATATTCATTAGGTACTAGGTATTGGAAAATAAACTATTGAGCGATTTATTGAGAATTCAAACCATTACCAAATACTATACTGAAGTTCTCTACCGATTGTTTAATATTTTGCATTGATTTAGGTTTGGACTAAATCTTCTTTTCTCGAATAAATTTAATACTGAACGTGATCGAGGATGGGGAGAGAGATAGAAGTACTTGCAAGATTCTTGCAAGATTCACACTCAAAAGAGCTCAATTTTAAATCTGATTAAATGCAGTATTTCCACACTCATCGAATTATAAGCACATGCGGACAGATTCCATTTTTTCATCTGAGTTTCAAACAAATTTACCATAGCCCAATTCATTCCTCTCCGGGTACAAATGTAAGTTGCTCTACTATAAGTAAAATTAATTGAAAGAATAATGGCGTTAGGCAAGATTAATTTATCCCCAAAAGAGCAAAAACATGAGTGTCCCTTCCATTTTAAATTAACCCTTTACCGAGGATATTAGACTCCAAAAATGCTAAATTTGATTAAATTTCTAAGATTTCAACCTTGGAACTGGTATTAAAACTGTGCAGTTGAAAAAATGCAGTTTTTTGCGAGCCATTTTTTCTGCAAATCAATATTCGGTGTAAGTGTCGACAAATCACCTTGAAAATCAAGCTCATGTCACTTTTAAAAAGTGGCCCTACTTTAATTTCCCTTTAATTTTACTTCACCACTTAAAAAACAATATTACCAACTTCGCCTTCCATGGAGGTGTTTTCGCTGGCATATTAATCGCCAAATCCTATAACTGATTACTAAAGCGAATCCAAATTGCATATATAAATAAAATGCATGTTCATTAGAGAGACCTTCTTTCCAGTGAATGGATTGATCCGCTGTCTTTCAGGGTTTGAGAAAGATATTTCTATCATTCTCAAATTAGTTTAAATGATCTTGGCATTCTCTATTAAACTGGGTGAGAAGAGTAATGATAATGGAAACTGATCATATTACTACATCGTCAATTGACCTCAATTTGTCAAACAATCAAAGTTTGGATCTAATAAAAAATTTCACGTAGAGTATCTGCCCATTTCTAGGAATGCACTTTTTTATATTGTCAGATTTAACTTCTTTCATTTGAAAAGTTCTTTTTTACTGCTTGAACTAAAACCGATACAATCAGTCACAGTTCCGGCTTTATTTAATGTATAGGTAAAAGCATATCCGGTCATACTTAAACCATATCAAATAGCTTTAGTGATTCGGAGTTATTAAAATTTCAAGGTCTATTGGTTACCTTACATCAAGCCCCATAACTCAGAGTAAGACTTCAGTGAGCAAATGTCAATTCAAGGTATTGTGAACTTCACAAACTTTGAGTGCATCTTATGTCGAACCAGACAACCAAAAGTCTTCAAATTGCGTGGGTGGCCAAATGTAATGAATAATTCCTGTTGGTAAAAAGGAGGATTGAAAGCTTACTTCCCTTTACATCAATCATAGAACACTCCTCTTAATGGGACTTAGATACTTATCAGACTTTAGCAATTAATCTTTGTGCGATGTTGTCGAAAGAATAATAAGCCTAATTGATACCGTTAGACAACAACAGACCCGCATGAATACTTTGCGTTTACTTTTTTCTATATGCACAATATTATTGGATTTCTACGTAATATTATCGAAAATAGTGTTGCTCTGTAACTTACAAATCCCGTTAGATGTATTTGAAGACAGATAATGAAGACGCTGTCTCATCTCTGCAAGAGCTGTCCGCTGAGCTTCAATAGTTTCTTCATGCCCGGCACTTTGACAGTTGGATACAGCGGATGGAACTTTTCGTGGAAATGGCCTCCCGTCTTTATATCTATTTGTACCTCTTTTTCTTCGACTTGCTTCCAAGGCTGCATGATGCGCCACTTTCTCCTCTTCCTCCTCGTTTAATGCCTTTCGGGTATTGTGAACTGAAGCTTTCGCTCGGCTGTTTAAATAATGAAATATTGGTTTTGTAAGAAATGGTACCATGAGTTAGCAGCGTTTGAGATAAAATCGAGGGGTTTTTTGAACAGTTTTGGAACTCTTCCTTATTGATATGCGACTATGTCAAATAGTTTTGAAATCAAATGTTAGATTAATTTTAGATTGGCAAATAATTGGTGGTAAATATACTGTTTGGAATCTTTCACTCCATGTAGCAAGACCAAAAAGGCAGAAAATTACTCTGCGTACAGTATGTCCAAAACGGTTGGAATCTATGCTATTGAGAAAGAGTTTCAAGAAGATTCAGGGATAAAAAGTCGGCTTATCCAAAGATTTCGCCTACTGTTCTATTATTCGAATTTTATTAGTTGGTCTGAAGGCTTTTTTGTATCAACCCACTTCTGTGATGCTCGAAGTCTAAATATTAAATTAATTAGATCATATATCTCGTTATCATTTGGCTCTTCTATCATTCATAAAAGGCCTTTTTTCACCAGCCAAAAAAATATTTTCAGCATATCAAAGTTCGTCCTTGAGAAAAAAACGCATTCATGAATTGGCCGAGAAACATTGCAGAGTGCAAGGACTAGTAGAAGACACCGTGTCATGCGTGATAAGAGTGTTTTTTGTTACATCCGTGGTTTTAACTTTACATTGGTTTCGGCATGCTCATGTTGGGCGATATGATAGCAAGTACTTCCTATTGAATGGAGAAGTTGATATCTTTGACTACTGTCAACAATTATTTAGCTGCAACGTACTTGTTTGTAATTCCACGTGTTTGGGTGACTATTTTCCAGGGTGGGTGCAAAATATTAGAAATAACTTAAAATTTCATGCATAATGAAAGAAAACTGTACCCTGATTAACTTCTTTCTAAGGAGATTCCGAATTTGTATTATGACTAAATTTGAGCATTAAATCGATGAAATTTAGCCCTTGCCAATTAGCCTTGAAAATTTGAATAGAAAATGTTACTTGAGGGAATCTTCTAGTCGATTATGATAGCGGTTACTGTATTCTCCTATCTGGCAGTTTAGATTAAAAGACGAATAAAGTTGTCGGAATCTTTTCTAAGCTTGACAGTACGATCATCAATACTGCACTTCTCCTAACAGCATTAATCCTACTTCTTTAACATGACACTTCTATCCCGGCATAAAAAGTTTGCCGACAGTTTTTATCTTTAGCATGGGTTAAAAAACATACTCTCATCCAAAATGAACACAAATCTCAGTACTCAATAATAAAAACAAATATCTTGCAGGCAGGCTTTACTCTAAAATTGTGCAAGGCATGACCTTGGAAATTAGAAAATTTTAGCAAATATGAAATTTTACTTTTTATTTCAATTTTTATTAGGCAAAATGAATCAATTGAATCCAACTAAATGACGTTAGTAGCTACCACCCTTAAACCGCAAAATCTCAGTCGAGCTTTTATCGGTTAACTTACCACCTTCCCACACTGCAATATGGTTTGACAGGCAAACGAATTTGAGCGCAAATCTCATAAACAGGAGTTTAAAGTCTGAATTTCGGTTGAATAAAAATGGCTAAGTGTATAAAAAGGAAGGGAATTAATAATCTGATTGTGAAGTGTTTAAAAGTTTACTTATTTGTTCAAATATACTTAAAACATGAATGAATGACAGCTCAGAGCTTTGTAAAAAGTCTTCTACTCATCAACTCCTTGTTGTTACTAAGATCTGGGGTTTGTGGGCCATTTTGGAGGCCAACTAAGACGATAGAAAATGGCGATCACATAACTTTTAACATCTCTGACAATTCCTACAGTACCGAATCGTCATGCCGCTATTGATGAGGATGACACTTACAGAAGAACTGCCCTTCTGAACAAAGTTTGCGTAACGTACCGCCTAAAGAGAAATATCGAAGATTTGTGTCAACTTTCTCACATTTTCTAAATTATCCATTAAAATCAAGTCATTAAAGAGTCATAATCGGCATAAGCAGATTTAAATTAGGCCAATACAGATTCATCGTCCATGGCGATCGCCACTAGTTGATAATAAATGTGAAGAACATGAGTTTATCAGTCTTGTTTTATCTATTCCCCCCCCCC